AAGACTCTTGATTGTAATATATAATGTTTGTATATAGAATAAATATTAATTTATGTCCTCTTGTATGCATGGTAAGTAGCGGAAAAAAAAAAAAAAAAAAAAAACAAAAAAAAAAAACAAAAAACATTACCCAGCCGTATAGAATCCAAACAACAGAACTTATGTGGAGAAGGAAGACATCAGAATAGGACTCATAAATTAGCATTTTAGCACTTTCCTTATTTGAACACATGTCCATTGCAATTGACTCAGCCAATCAAAACGCCTGTCAAAATACGTCAATGGCAAAAGTCGCCTATTRATCAAAAAGCGAGTTATTTCCATGATATATCAACAGTGAACACATACACTAAACAAGGATGGAGGGCTTCAACATCTCACTCACAAACCACTTAAACAGCTCGACACACACCGACTGCAAGTATTGGGGACCTGAGAGCGATGCTGAAATCATTGCTAAACGCATTGCCTTTGTATTGGTTATTTTACTGGGAATTTTTGGCAACGTTTTCATCATCCTACTCGCTGCTAAATTCACAGTACGAAGGAACCTGAACTATTTGATTATCAACATGGCCGTGTCAGATACACTTTTTCTTCTCGCTTCGTTACTTATGTATATCCCCTGGATTTCTAACTACAAAATGAGAATCCAATCTAAGGTTTTCCGTAGAAGTGCATTGTTCCTGTGGCATACTTCAGTTAGAGTATCGATTATTACTTTATTGGTTATCAGCATTGAACGTTTCAGAGCGACCAAACAAACTATACAACAACCATATACACTAAAACAACGAATGACTGTACTCGGATTCTGCTGGTTAGTTCCCATGCTATTGKCTTCCTTCTTTACTTATGTAGAGTCTCATGGCTTAGAGACGTTGACGACTCAGAGAAAATCTCTCTCATTAGCAATTTGGATTCACGAAATTTTAGTTGTTGTTCTGTGTTGTGTAATATTCGCTCTTGGAATTTTAACCACAAAACGACTGTCCAGATTACGACCAATTCATTCCCATCTCAATAAAGAGATTCATTCTTATATTATTCACGAAGTATTATTTAAATCATCTGAAATACTCCATTTTCGAATTCCAAGCGAATAACCGCTGTTTTATTTGACAGCAGTTGCAATTACGCAAAGAACTTACCAAACACAAAAGAAAGCACGAGAAAATGTTGTTAGTACAATTGAGTTGAGGCTAACCCTGTATTCCCAGAAGGCTCATACCTTAGGTCTTATGAGAATAAAGGGCTAGTCTCAACTCGGGGAAAATGCAAATTTTCAAGGCTATTGTAATGACATTTTCTCGTGCTCTCTTTTGTGTTTGGTCAGGTCTTTGCGCAAGAGAATCTGCTTTCAAATAAAGCAGCGGTTTTTCGCTATGAACTCGAAACTGGAGTATTCACCTGTATTTCAGCAACTTCAAAGATGTTAAGTTCAAGTTGCAAATGAAAATTTCATTTGTAATTTCAAACTTTAAAAGCATTATTTGTTTGCTTGCTTTAGTTTAATTTCATTGGACTTTTCCTCAATAGCCGCCTCAGTTATATTAACTGTTTTAATTGCCATAACATCTGTAATCTCACAATGAATGAATGCCGTGTGCAATTTCAATTCTTGTTTTCGAAGTAATAAACAATTATCTCAAAAACATATCTTTTTATATACACGTAAATTTCTGGAAAAATCGAAGATTGACACAAGAGAAAGATTATTTGAACGACAAACATAAATTTAAAGTATTTTCATCAAGTTAACGGCACCCCTTCATAGGCTTTTGTGTACACTTCGAAAATTAAAAACACCGTATTACGTGCAATTATGTTTTATTTTCTATGAATATCAAAATAAAATGTTAATGACTGCACTTTCTATATTTGCCGTTAACTTTTTGCTGAATTCTCGAAATTTCCTATATTTTTTTGTGAGAGCAAAGAGAGTCCTACTTGTGGCAAGTCTTTTAGAAGACTCTTGATTGTAATATACAATGTTTGTATATAGAATAAATATTAATTTATGT